GGAAAACAACAGAACAGCTATAGGTAATGAATTTCCTTACCAGATGGCACACGGCTGCAGGCCAAAAATGACACATGTTTTTGCCAGTCTAGAACTATAGACTTTCTACAGTATATTAAAATAGTGTGGAAAGGAAAAGAACTGCGATCAGGGAAGGTGGAAAATGAAAGGGAAATTTTGGGTCAGCGCCTGGGGTTTATTGAGAGCTGGCAGACACAAAGAAATACTTTCTGGCAAGAGAGTGTCTGGAGTTCGAAACTCCAGGACCAAAGAATGGCAAGCCTGAAGGACAGGAAGTCATGTTTAGTTTGGCTTTGCCTTAAGAGTAGTCTCTTGTTAAACCTAGACTTAAGAAAGAGTTTTATGTTATAAATGCTGTTCACCCTCACTGTTAGCAGTGGTTTTGGCTTCTGTGCAAAACTGCGAGGTTTAAACCAAAGTCAGACTCGCTGTACAACGATAAGTACAAGGTGACTGCAGAGCAGTTAAAGGAATATGAACTATATGATTCTACCTGAAATAAGTTAACTGCTTAAGACATGAAGACGGAAAAAGGAGTATTTGAACAGGAAAAAGCAACAAAAACTTGGGAACATATCAAGTGCTTGTCTATAAATAATCTGGCATTTCATATAGTGTCCATTTTCAGGGAAACAATGTCAGCATAAGACAGAAAAAAAATTAAGTCTTTTTATTTTGTTAAAGCCAGTGATAATTTTCCATCCCCTTGTGGTACTAGCACTCTGAACATAAGCTAAAGAGACTAAATACTTGAGTAAAAAGAGCACTATTATGTGTGTACACAATATACATTATCTGATAAAATCATACAGCAGGCAGCATTTTTAGAGCAGGTAAGGGGAACAGAGATTTACTCTATCATAAAGTCGCAAAAGCAAACTAAGTCTGTAATCTGTACTGTATGTTACTGTTAAAGCAAAAAAAGTGGAAAGTTGGTTCCCATAAACTCAGTTAGATTTTTGTCACTACCTTCAGTAGGATCAAGATTTCACTCAAAAGGTTTAAAATGGAATGTCCCTAAACCTGGATCTAAACAGCTTGGTATTAATTTTATTCAAGTATAAAAGCACAGACACAGCAAGGCAACTTGATTTAGAAATTATGTTCTTTTATAAGAGTAAAATTCTGAAGGACTTACTGCAATTTCAGTATTTACTTCATGTTTGCTGAACCTGTAAACAACCACATATGCAGAAACTCCTGCCACACAGAAAATTCGGCTTTCAGGACACCAGTACATCATCTGAACAGCAAAAGGATCTTCTTCCACAATCTCAGCTGTTGCTTTTCCTTCTCCCGGTTTCTGTTTTTCAAAGACTTTTGATGTTTTTAATTTGTACAACATCTGTAGAGTAACTGGAATGTATTAAAACATATAAAAAATACTGACTATCATGAAGCAAAACAGTTCTAAAATTCCTCAGTTCCCATTTTCTATTCAGTTGTGGCATAATAAAGAATCTTATGAAGGCCTAAGAGGAGGAAAAGATGAGTATTACACAATACAGATATTATTCTGGTCCACTTTACTGGTAGAATATGTATTTAATACTACCAAAACAGATATTTGTCTGTGAAATACTTCTTAGTATTTCCGGGGACATGATGTTAAAGGTGCATGTTAACCATTATGTCCACAATTGGGTTTATACTTAGTGTTATAGAGAAGCTCTTATAATGCTTCTGTTTTCTTAATGAGATGTGAAACTAAGATTTCACTTGTCTGAGGTTATTGTCTTTCAAGAATGTAAAGATTGTATGGTAATTCAAGAGAAAATATTATGCAAGTATTCTGGTGGCCTGGGCAACACAAAGACTTTCTGAATGAACAGGAGTTCTAAAATGTTTTGAATTTCTTAACTAATAAGTATATCTGTATTCATACCTGTATATAAAACCTTAATATCCAGAAGCCTTTGTCAAGACTAGAACTCCACTGCAGTGAATTCTAGAGGTAAAAGAGGGATTATAACTAACCCCATTTTGTTTTATTGACATTCCTCCCTGGTTTTTACTACTTTTACATTAATTTATCAGTGACATTAATTAATAATTGCATAAGGTCAGAAAAAGTACATCAGGCCCAGCACCTATAAAGGTGTGTATACACATAAAGGCAAAGCTGTTACGTATGTTAGTGTCATTGTGGTAGATAGTCTAGCTAGTTTGTGCAACAAGAGGAACAAAAAGATGACAGAATGGGATTTTAGATATGTAACTGGATGATGAGCACAGCAAAATTACATTTTCGTTTTGCAGTGCAGATATATTCCAGGAGTCTTAGCATACACAATTTTTTGTATTTTAAAGTATTAGCATATAAAACGCTACCAGATTTTCACAAATTACAGGTTCTTCTGTAATGAATTCGTAATTCTTCCTGCCTTCTGTGGCAGTGGAAGAGGCCTCAGGATGCCCTTAGTCCCAGTAACAAATCTAAAGTGGCACTTCAAATCAGACATCATGGATTCATGTATACTAGGACTGGAAGAGTTACAGAATCATAGGACACAAGTACAAGGTGAGACTCTCTATGCTTCTACGAATTACTAGGTACCATCTGCACAAGGGGAAATAAGAAACAGCAATGGCTTTTGAGCAAAGATACATTTGGAAAACTGCCTCAGTGGCTTAGTAATTCCCTGTCTCCCAAAAATCAGTACTTTCAGAATCAAAATTACACAATTAAAATACATCTAAAAGCAAAGTATTTTGTGGCTTTGAATACCAGTAGGATATTATGTTTGCTATGGAATCTCAAATGAAATCTGAACTCTATTAAAAAAGTTGAGACCTTGTAAATAATAAAACTTTGTAATAATTAAAACTTGGTAAATAAAAAGTACCAAGTACGGTACCAGTAATGAAGTACATACCCCAAGAGCAGGGCATCAGAGATGCACTAAAAGTATCATTACTATCGAAGGGATTGTGAATATCCATGATCATCTAAGCTTTCACCTTTAAGAAAAATTCCTATTGCAGTTTGTACATACTGATTAGTGCGTTATGTTTACATTCCCTAAGAGAATTTTTTTCTTTGCCCCATTCCTGCCAGAATTATAGAAGAAATGACTAGCACATTGGTTCCTGTGCAATGGATATGCTAAATGCTTTGGAGTCTTGCAACAGTCTGTATTGTTTCACCCTAACTTTAATGCCTATATTTGCACATTCTTGACAAGAGCGTAAGTATGTAATGAAATATGCACAAGACAAGGTCTAATGCCTCACACTACTTCTCTAAATAGAAGTCATTATCCTATTTTTGTTCATATTAAAGCTCTCACAAACTTCTGTCTTTGCAGATAAACTCCTGTTAACATCATCTGAATTTTTTCCTTTTTGGTGTTCACCATAACTTTAAAATACTGGAAGGTGTAAACTCTAAGCAGCATGTATCTATTTTTCCTCCATTTCCAAATAGACAAATTATATAATAAAAACCCAACTCATAGTCACGTTCAGTTGACATGTTGATGTAAAATTCCTTTGTGAAATGAGGCTTTGGAAATCCTCATTTTCTCCTTGTCCATCCTGATGAGTGAAAGTATTTGATATTAGACAAAAAGAGAACTATCTGACAAAGTCATCAGGTTTAGCTGACATTAAAATCTTCTAAACATTCCCCACATGTGACTGGAAATGATAGGCCTATTAATCATTACAAATCTGTGGCACAAAGTGGAACTAGCAGGTAGTTTAAGTATCACATACTCAGTGTTCTTGGCAAGCATTACAGACTGGTTATTAGGATCAAATTAAATCTCTCTATGCCTAATATTTCAGAAGTTTTCCTTCACACTTTTCTTTAAGAGACTGATACCTCATAAAAGAGATATTCTACCCATACATCCCTGTACCACAGAAGAGACAGAACACAAAGCAACTACTGCAACTTTTGTGAAGCACAGTCACATTATTTGAACCAGAATATTTTAGCTTTCAACTAAAATGTATGTATATTTTTAATATATTTTACTAATAAGGACCATATACATTTTCTGTAGGGGGAAATGCTGGGTTTTGATATGTGTAGTTAGAGCTAGAATGTGTGAAACAAGCATTTTCTGAAGCTTTTTCCTGCTAGGATGAATGGAAATGCTTCCCAATTATTTTCTGGAACCTAAGAATGGACAAGGAAAGATTTAGATCTTCTCCACCCTCACCAGATTAGACATGTATTCGGATGTATTATTGTATTTTAATGTTTTATTTTTACTTAGTTGTAAAAAAGACTATATAGTACTCAGAACAGAAGAGACATGACAACTGGAACTGGATATTAGATCTAATTGAACCCACTGTTATACACACAAGAAGATTATGCCCTAGGGTTTTTTTACCAACACTTCATCCTTCACAGGTTTTGGTTTGTTGGATCTGGAGTTTTTATTCCTCTTAAAGACTTTCACTCTTTTCTGTCTAATATATCTCATTAGCAGCGGGATTTTTTCCCCTAATTTAATAAAAATTTGCTTCATTTCACCTCATTATTCCTAATTATATCATCCCAGGTATTACCACTCACACTGTTAAATATCATGTTATATATATATATGTGTGTGTGTGATTTGTCAGCATTATATAAAAGTGAACTTTAGAAACTTACTGGCAGAAGCATCCCAAAACTTTACTGATCCATCTGCATGGCTTAAAAAAAATATAAAAATTAAATGTGTTAAAACAAGATGCAATTCTAGGATATCTTCTACTTTCAGTGAGTGATAAATACAAGCAGAAAAACAGTATTTTGCTCATATAGTAACTCTCTATACCTTACTGATAACATACAATGATATATATATACTAACTATAAGAAAATATTGTTATTTGTTTGATTATGTTAATAAAACACTTTTTCATGCATTTCCTACAGAGAACTAAGCCCCCAATGAATCTTAAGATCACAACAGCAAGAAACTAATTCCCATACTAACGACAAATTTAAGTTACAGCACTTCTGGCTTTGCAGTGGGCCAGCATCAAGCGTATGCACTCTAAAAATGCCATGTATAACGAACTTTGAAAGGACAGAGGGTAAATTTGTTTTGCTTAATACCTTACAGGTGTGTTCTTTTTATTAATACAAAATCATTCCTGAAGTAAAGCTGGAGAAAGGACACATTCCTGTTTAAAATGAGAATAATCCCTTCATCACCTTACTGGTACTATTGCGCACATCATAATCCTATTTTTGAAAACAAGAATTGAGTATTATTGATAATAACAATTTATCAAATATATTGCTATCATCAGCATGGCTGAGACCAGAGGGAAACACAGAGTGCATCACCGCTGAATAGCTTCTGTTTTAGAGCATGTCCCCTTGAAAATCCATCAGGCATTTCTTCTACTGCAATCTGAGCCTTTCTGTGCCTCTTTGCTATGTGGCTGTCTCACTCACAATGTGAAATTCATCCCAGTGCACCACACTCTCACTAATGCTGGGGTGTTAAAATGAATTCCCAAACTGTCCCCAGATACAAAGTCCCCAGAAGGCCAAAGCTATAGAACAGCTGCTCCCCTTTTAAAAGCTATTCTCTACGCACTTCAAGGCCAAAATATCCTCTTGCAATGGATTCTCCTTCAACCCTGAGTACAAAGTTCTATATTCTACAGCAAATGGGAATTTCTGTAGTGACTGTACACAAGGGAAAATACTATGTGCCTCAAATGAAGAAGCTAGGATATACATACTCTGAAGGGCCAACTCTTATCTATAGCTAACCCACAATCAAAAGCTGTAGACACTAGTGTTTTAAAACTACCAATCCTCAGTTTCATTCTCACCCTGTAATAATGATTTCGGGATATGTCTGAGCTCCAAGGTTCCATGCTCCACCACTGATGGGCCATTCCTAAACAGACAACAAAAGTACAGAGATCACAACTAATTCTGATGAATCTTGCTTGGTGAATTTTTAAACTCAGGAGCAGACAACAACTTCCTCCAAAAAGCAATAGAACTCATAAAAGGAGCAAAATTGTGTAGCATTCAAGGCTTTAAAAGCTTGAACATTTTTATAGTATCAATTAAGGCTTTTGAAACTTAATAATAACTAAAGTTCTATGTTTTAAAAAATATTTCTGCACAGCTAGCACTCAACAATTCAAAACTGAACTAGAGGAAGGTGTAACAAACAATTCTGTAACTTTGATTGCATGACTTCTGGACACTGAATAGACTGAGGATCTATTTTGAGGATGAAGAAGCTGGCCCAGAAACAAGTATCTGAGCATAATGCCACAAGATATGAGATAAGGGAATGCAACTTTTACAGAACATATGAAATCATCATCTCTTTTCTGCCTTTTGTTTACTAGTGTCAAGACTCTCATTCTCTTCCTCATTTTGCTGGTAGAGCAAAATGCTGCTCTGTGCCTAAAGCTCGACATGTATGGATACAGGATGTGGAGGATGACATATGTGCAGAGTGGGTGAGAATGTGTGCAGAGAATAAGTGGGTGGAAAAAACTGGGAGCACGAACAGGTTATGTGGATACACAGAGTGGATGTTTGTGGGTACAGAAATGGGTGGGTGGCAAACAGGTGGCTGCCCACATTCAGAGTCTATGTTTGTATGTGCAAAAATAAAGTAAGAAGGTGTGCAATGAATATAGGCATGTGAAAGGTTTGGGAAACTATGTATGTGAGGTAAGGATAAATAAGCAGACAAATTCAAATAAGAGAAAAAAAATACTTTCTGAAGTACTTTGCTGAATCAAAATATAAAAGAAGTAGATCGGGCCCAGTTTCTCAGTTCAGGGAAAACAAAGCAGCTTCAAGGAGAATACTTCTGTTAATATGAATAGGAAACTGACGATATCCGATCTGTTTACCCAATATTTTTTCCAATTTATTTGTTATGATGGATTGGTTCTGGTCCAAACATAAACCAGATTAATGCTTGAAATTCATAAAATAATTGCATTTTCTTTTTATTTCTGTAGCTTGGCCTGTTTCTAAAAGGATTACATTAAGACTTTGGCAGCTCAGTAAAGTAATTACCAACACCCCTGTTTAATAAAAATCTCACAGACATGCTGTCAACCTTCAACTTTCACTGAAGCTTTTCTGCTAACTTCTTTCAGACAGAATGTTTTCACTTTTTTCTTTGATAGAGGTAGCTTATCCATACAATTTGAATTGTACACTGATGGCTTTCCTTTAACTCAATCTGATCTGGCATAACCCCAGCAGCCTAATGATTAAGTCCTATATAATGGTCATTAATGGTTGTGTTGAAGTGATGGTGTTTCTGAGAGACAAATACCAGGCCATAAGCATGCTGCTAAATTGCTGGTTGGACCAACTTGAAAGTGATTATTAAAGAAGTAAAATGAAAATAATTTGGTAAGATATTACAAAAACATAGGTTGTACATCTACTTTCTTTGTTTAAAAAAAAAAATTGGTTTTGTTTACCTTATTGCTATATCCTTGTTTTTTATGTTTTGCTCCTACAGAATAGAGTACAGGAATCAAATCTGGAGGACAGTCCGCAAAATACTCTGTGCAGGTAACAGGTGACTCATGAATGTCAATAGGATATGGATTTTCAAAGATTGGAAAACTAGTTAAGGAAGACAATTTATTAGAAGCACTGTGACACACTGAGCCATAGAAGAAAACATATTCTTATATTAAAGTGTTTAACAGAATCTAAGTAAAATCATTACTAAGAAAGTACATTTCCCTTTATTTATGCAAACATATGAATAGTTTTCAATGTCAATAATAACACGTAATTACTCAAATAAAGATATAAAAATTCCACTGCTGTGACAAGAATTCTCTTGTGACATAAATACCTATTCATGTGAATAGTTCCTAAGGCTAATAGGACTACTTGTGTAAGTGAGGATTAGGAACCAATTTTTCCCAACATCTCAAAATCTTACTGATACAGAAGTGACACATTTTCTAGAAGTTTCAGGTTCATGGATAATATATATATTATGAGCTAAGAACTACGTATACAGCTGTGTATTTTATATTGAACAGCTTAGCTTATTGGGTTGGTAGACTACTGATTCTACAATGAACAATTTCAATAACAGATGAAGTAGATCTCAGTTTATTTCTCACTTCCATCAGTTTGGACGGTTTGGTAAGAAGGAAGGCCTCACTTCTGGCATATTACACAATGTTATTCACAATTCAAAAATGTAGGAAATTTGGTTCTGATTTCAGTGACATCTATTTTATATTGCTGAGATGATTTGAATTGTTCTTGACAGTAAGTGAGATCAGAGTACAGTTCACTTAAAGTGTTTCAAGACATTAAGGGCAAAATCTGTTCCTAGTTATACCACTGTGAATGCAGATGTACCTTACTGGTAGTGTTGGAGGCAGAACAAAATAAATAAGAATCAGATTCTGCATTATATGATATATAGTTCCTTTTTGATGTGAACATCGATTCTGACGTCATTTGTCATTTAAACCAGGGACTAGATCATGAAACAATCCTGTAGATCCATTATAAATCAGTGCCATTATTTATTAAGAGTCTTAAGCAAATACTTAAGTGTTAGTCCCTGTGGAGCCTAGTGAAGTTAGGCATGCATATAAGTAGTAGTTGAATCTAGTTTCCAAAACAGACATTCAGGTCATAATTCAGCATGTGACCAAGTATTACTTAACTTTGATGTTGAGTGAATGTTTGAGGGCTATGCTGAAGGGACCGCAGATTTAGATTTATTTCCAAACTTAAGAACAAATATTATCATAAATTCTTGATGATTAGCTGATCTTAGCTTTTAAGGTGGAGGTGAATATAGAGTGAATTATTACCAAGAGCAAATGATTTTGGATAGTAATATACCGTACGGTAACATTTGGACTTCTATCATCATTTTATAGACAGTTAAGATACACAAATAACTACATATAAGACTTCATACTTACTTGCTTTGTGTCAGGTCAACAACAATGAGATCTTTTTCCAAAAGCACAACTACAGCATAGGGTTCTTGAAATTCTGTAAGCGAGGAATCAAGTATAGAAGATGTGGAGTTCTCTCATTACTCATTTTAAACAAGCTAGTCATATTTATGTTCTGGAAACATTCACAGTATATTAAACAAAAGTTTTAAGGTACAAAACCTAAACATATCCACAAACTAGACATATCCACAAACTAGAGCCAGACAAGAACTGAGAAATAACTTTTGGACACTATCAATAGCAGAACATACACAGCAGAAATAGAATTGGCATATTCTGGCATGCCAGTATGACGGTATATTGAAAGTAAAGAAAGAGAACATGAATTAGTTGTGTGTATCACTGCATTGCTAAATCCAATTATTATACAGAAAATGTATTTTTGCTGTCCAGTAGTAATACTTCTACTGTGTACAACTGTTCTTCAAAACCAGATTGTGAAGAGCTGGTCCAGTCCACTTCATGATACACAATGCTCTCATTTCCAAAGTGATTCCAAAGGAATATTCCAAAGGAGACCTGTAATTCTGCTGTGTTCAATTCAGATACTGTCACACTCCTTCTTCCCAAACACTCTTTAGGAGATGATATAGTTTGGGGTTTTTTTATTTAATGCTTTTTTCATTTATCAACGATAAACCACTAAAATGGCAAATAAATGCTTCCCTTGATGTGTAGGGGGCATTAGTTTTAACAGAATAAAAGTTGTTTTAAAAAACATAGATGTGAAATTATGACTCTCAAACTGCTCCAGCATGTGCAAGCTCAGAGTACACTCTTCAGATGTCTGATGCCAAAAGGCTAAGTAAATTGACAGCAACTGTTTTACCTTCCTTTCAGACCAGTTATGAATGTACATTATTTGTGGTCCGTTTTTTACAAGGGTATGAATAACACAGGTTCAATCACATTTTTTAAATATTAGGGTGTAAGCAGGGGAAGGGGCTATAAAATCTTAGTGTCTGGGAAGTGGCACTGTATTTGACACAGTTAAATGAAGGCCCGAACTAACCTTGATTACTGAAAATTAAATTTTTGCATGACATTGAAAAAAATACACACTTTATCATTACTAAGTGTTTTTAATATATATTTGGTTTATCTATGTGTATAAGATCTATTTTATTTTTCTGCTTGAGGGCTTAAAACGCTAAACTTAGTTTCCTTTTGACTTACAGCTTTTCTTAATTTACTTCCTGGCGTTTTCTGTGAATGTACTTCAGAATTTGGCAGCCCCAAATATGCAGCAAAACACTTTTAACAGTTCAATTCAGGCTAAAGTGTAAGAACTCTTTTGCAGATAAGTGATAGTTTAATCTTCAATAATTTAGCTATCTGTAGATTTTTCAGCCTTATGAAAGATATCGGCAATGGAAGCACATATGTTTGATTAATAGCAGTATTTCCTCACACTAGCGCACGTGTTTCAAGTGTATATCTGGGGATTTATGCATGCTTTATTGTCCACTGATTACTTGCTTCCTATATTGAGAACGCAAACAAGTTCCAGTTACTTTCAGTGATGCAGTTTGCTTGAGATGGAGACAACTGTGAGAATGGAAGTCCCTGGAATGAATTAAGATATGAGAGAAGATCACTTCATTTATACTTCCCATAACCATGCTTTGCTTAATAAACTCACCATTTGGATACGGGGTTTCACAAAGAGTTAAAAAATCAACTATAGGGTGATCCATTTCAAGAACGGTAATTGCTTTCCCATGCATGATTGTTAAACTTGGTCTTCGACAAGCCTTATCATATGACAACCCACCAGAAAATATCACAAATGGTTCACTGTATTAAAAAACCAAACATAGTAATTGTAAGATTACATAGTACATACAAGTTTACATTATAGATTTAGTACCTTTAAATAATAATAAATATTTTTCCAAAAGAAAGCGGGAAAGATTCTAACAGGCCTTTAATTCAGGAATGTAACATTGAGTTAATTACAGAATTAAAAACATACCTGTTTTTACAGGTCTTGTATTCTACTTTAAGAATTGGTTTACAGGATTCAGGTTTTTTTCCATCTCTCTGAGTTTTTCCTAAGGAAATAAAGAAGATGAAAATTATATTTAAACATCATGCTAATAGAACTATCTTACTAAAATATACACATTGCAGCAGCTGCATAAGCAGTAAGAGAATCTACAGAAGATGATGAGTATTAGCTTCTATTTCTGTAAAATACACATTTGTCTAAATTAATTACACTTATTATGGCTTTATGTTTTTACTGCCATACACATCTAAAGGACCACAGGCCACACTTCAAAGTCACCTAAAAACCATGCGGACTACCGAGAAGGATGACACTTAACTAATAATTAATGAATTTGCCCAAATGTATAGTATATGTTTTTTATGAACAGCTTAATTTTTCCTAAGTCATTCTTAGATTGACTCAATTCCTTTTGTTGACAAAATGCTACACACTCTGGAGAGTAACTAGTTGAGTGATAAAATTAAATTAAGTGTACAATTGAAATTCATGGGTTCTTGGTTAATGATGGCTCAGTACTTTCTTCCAGTCAGAGAAAAGTCACTTCTAAACCAAAAAAATAACAATTTTGGTTTTGTTACTTTGGAAAGCCTATGCTTGCTTTTGACAACGACCTGATTTGAGGATAGAGTGTAGATGAAACGAGACTGTTCTCAGAGGTGCACAGTGGCATGACGGGAAGCAAAGGACTTAAGTTGTGAAATGGGAAATTCTGGTTAGATATTAGCAAAAAAAGTTGTACCGTAAGGCTCATTAAATATGGGAAGATGTTGCCCAGAGAGTTTGTCCAATTTGTCACTGGAAGTGTTCAAGTGTTCAGAGTCAACTGGATACTGCCCTGAGCTAACTGATCTAACCAGGCCAGTTTTGAGCTGGGGGTTAGATTAGATGGCTTCTGAGAGCTCCCTTCTTACATAAACTACAATTCCATGACTAAAAACGATAAAATAAAAGGAATTAAGAAATTTAAGAAAATGCTAAAACTTTTCTGGGCTACATAGAACTTGCCTTTCCCTTCTTCTTCTCTCTCCATCCAGTCAGGCTTCTTGGTAATGTATTGATTTGCAATAGAGTCAATACCTTGTAACCTCATTTATAGGAAGCAATGGGATAAAAAGTCTCAGCTATAAAAGATACAGCCCTTTCTTAATATGGCTCCTTTAAATTCTTCATTGCAGTGACCTGGGAAGCCTTGTACCATCTCTATAACAAGCAACACAGTGCCTTGTACAAAATGTATTACTTCTTGTGAAAACTGCAAATACGAGCATGTAAGTACAAAATATAAAAGAAAGAAATGTGAAAATCCCATAGCCTGAGGATGTCAAAGACCAGCAGTAGACTATTCAAGAATTGGACAAAAGAAAACATTACAGCAAGTAATTAACCAGTAAGAGTTTATTAACTTCAAAAAAAGTTTTATCAAAATTGCTCTCTGATTTTTATAATATTTTGCAGCTACTTTGCAGATTAAAATATTTATGCAAGAAGGAACTCTGGATCTGAGCTACAATAAAAAATGAAATAAACATAGATACTAGCAAAAGCATGGAGAATATTGTATTGCTTCTTAGTTATACATTTTAACTATCAAAATTACCGTGTGGAATTGTGGTCTGGAATGGTCTGTTAGGACTTTTCAGATTCCATAGGGTCAAGCTGCCATCAGAGTGACTGCACATGAACTGCTTCCCTTCATGATGCCAAGCAACGGAATGAATAGCCTACAGAAATGAAAGAAGAACTTGAGACCGAATGGAATACAGTGTTTATGCTAATGATATTTTAATGTGTGACTTTGAACTATATTAATCTAACGGTATATCAACAGTCGGATGGTTCTTTTGTGTCTAAAGTCGATTAGCAGCATTTTTTAGTAATTTACTGCTAGTCAAGCAAGACAATTTATTGTAAATGCTAACATAGCTAAAGAATGTAAGAAAGCCTGTACTCAATCAGACCAAAACTGAAGGAACAGGGTATTAGGGTAAAAGCATAAGAACAAGGGACATACAGTGCAATTGTAATATGTCTGATAGCTCTACTTCGACATATTTGATTTGGTAAATGTACAGGGAATTCTGTGTAACAAGTTTTACAGGTAACGTACAACACACGCAGTCTTCCCCAGAGGACTATTTACAAAGAGTAGAAATGGTACTCTGTTCTTGAACAATTTTTCTCCCCACATACTTACGTTTCAGAGCAAGTACACAGAAATCTGGGATGTTTAATATAAAACCAAAACCACTAAAGAGACCAGAATTGTTTCACTGATATAGGAAATTAACAAAACAATGATGTAACATACTTTTGGAGCAGATAGTGCTTCAGAGAAGAACAATATTGCACTCTTATGTACACAATGCAAGTACCACATGATGAACGTTATGTATGCCAAAAAGCAACATTTCAGAAATTAGTAGACTATTCTTAGTATTTCATGCATAGTTAGGGGAACTGACTGAAAATATCCATAATTACATCAAACTATCTGAAAGGATAATGGTGTAGGTCCTTCATTTTCATTGGTATGTGCTGGAAACTAACAAAAGCCATTTTCTGACAAAACAAAGTATTGATTCATTGTATACCACAGTTTCTCACACACTCCCCTCAGAAGCACAAACCCACACAATTTTCCCTTGAATCCATTTCCCTTCCAGTAACGTTAGCTGCCAAACAGCAAAAAACACAATACGTTTTTAAGTAAATGTAAATAAAAGAGACCTATTTTTGAATGCAGTTTGATACATTTTGATTTTTGCAACCCAGGAAATGCTAAGGCCTTGCATGCACTTACAATTGCATACGACCATTTACCTGATTTTCCAAATCACTTTAAAATCATGCCTGGATATTCATACGTCAGCATCAATTTTGCTTAAGCTGAGAAGGAATAAACCTAACTGCTACTGGTCACTATTTAAAACTCCCTGTTGGTCTTTCTCTCTTAATAAATATGTTGATTGCCATGGTTGGTAATGGCTCATGGTCTGGAGAGAATATCAGGAGAAACGAACAAAAATGCTGTGACCCTTTACCAAAACTTTACTCAGCTCCTGAGGCTGGACAGCATAGCCACAAATGAGCCTTTGCATTAAGATGACCCAGATGTTTTAACAGGAATCTGACATGCCTTGTGTATGAATGCTTTGCTAATACACTAGTAAGCTAGTCATGCCAACAAAGACTCAACAAACAGAGCTGAATAAAGTGAACTCTAGATATTTATCTTTGAGTGACATAATGGGTGTCACTCAAACTTCCACCTGCCAGAGGGGTGTTGGCACGCAATTCTTCTTAATGAGCCAGAAGATACTAAACTATAACTGAAGTAACAAAAGATAACACAGAAAGATGGTTCATACAGTGTCCAATGCCATTGCCCTCAGGTAGTAAGGACCTTAGATCTGTGAAGAACACTGCTTCACTTGTCTATCCTTATGCAAATTAATTCTGATGTAAGTTCATTCATGCTTGCTATCATGCCAAATTTGAATCTGCTTTTGATATGTTATCACACATAGAAACATTTCACATGGTTACAATCACTAACTGTGTCTGAGCAGGAGCTAGTAACTAGCAGCTGAAAATTGTACCAAGCAGCTTGTTAAACTGCCTTTCAGCTACTAGATGCCACCTGCCAGCATAAACCTCCTGTTGAGCAGAGCTGAGGCAGAATGCTCCTGTCACAGACAGTTGGCATAGCAGCAACTGAAACTCACCTGTTAGACTTTACCCTAAAATGGGCAAGAAATATTTACAATCGCTTTTGGAGGTCTCAGCTGGGAGTCATGACTAATACTGAAAGGCCGTACTGAACAAGTCCCTAATTTTCTCTCTGCTAGAATATGTCTAGCATTCTGATCCACTTCTTTAACATCCACACAAAAAAGGAGCAATTATTTGCTTAGGAGTTCATCACAGTGGGTGACTCATGTGAATGTTCACACACTGTATGCACATGAAGCATATCACTCCAGATTGGGTATGTTTCTCCTTCTGCAATACTCACACTGGTTGCATACATATTCCACCTTCTCTCATACTCATCATGTGCTAAAATTAAGCATCACAACACATTTCAGTTCCTTCCCCAAACACTAACCTCCTCCACCAAGAAGAACTCATGGGGACTTTAGGACCACTTTTAATCATATGTTGAACAAGCACCATACCATCTCATCCTGTTACTTGAATCTTAAGAACCCTTTGTGTTAGTAGTACTGCAGGCCACATCCAATTTGATATTTCCGTAATGGCATAGGTCTTGACAAAGGTAGGCAGATGTCATTTGGCAAATATCTCTGTGAACTCTGCAGCTTCGTTTGAGAGATGTGTTCTATTGAAAGATGATGACTATGCTTCAGGAAGCTCTGAATGTGTGTTGACACAACCTGTCCAACTTTTACACAGTCTGATTATGAAGATGGTTGTTTTTTTACGTCTGCCAACTATCAATAATAACTTGATAATCCTTTGAAGGATCTCTCCTGTTTATGTGCTCTCTTTCTATACCAATCGATGGAAATAAACTTTTGAAGGAATTTATAAAAGGACTTGTAAGGAAAGCCTTTTATAGAAGGCATCATGTAGGAGCATTGATTGAAAGAGCCTGAGTATCTCATACATATCACCACTGAGAAGCTGACAATCGTCATCACACAAAGAAATTTGCAGCCGACATCTTGAAGAGCAGACACAAGATTCTTTAGCAGCAGGTTCAAGCTCCACTCTGGGACCAGGTGTTTCACAAGAGAGAACATTTTAGCCTCTTGAGAAGATTTGACACAGTAGAGAAAAACATAGAGAAAAACATAGAGAAAACATAGAAACTCCTTGTATCAGGAGCTGATGAACTGAGTCAGCCTCTAACTGGTCATCAGCAGGGCTAAAAGAGAGACAAGACTACTTTTAGCTCCAGTGAGTAAATCATAAGCATCAAGGAGAAGATTTAAAGGGAAGATACAGGGTTACAAGAATGCCAAGCAGAGAAGTTCCAGATAATGCAACTTGTACAGCCTTTTCTATCCTTGGTGAGAAGCTCTCGCTTTTGAAAAGAGCAGATGTTTTTATCTATGAAAGGTCCCCAGCCTTCAAGACATGAAGTATTGCATGACAAAGATGGAGTAAGGAATGCAGCTGTAAACGCTGCAATTGCAGGTCTGTGAACAGGAGGCAGAGTCTTCAGCTCCACCACTTGCAATCTATTGGGCTGTGTCGGTGATCCTAGGTGACCAATCAGTAAGAAAAGGCTTGGGTTTGTAAACTTGGGTTGGTGCCAAATACCAAGCGGCACATGGGGACCTAATTATTTGTGACTCGCAAAAGCTATATAACACAGCATTTAAAAAGCAATCCTTTTTAGGGACTCCCTAGGGGAATCCTAGCAGATCTGGAACATTACCAAGCCGGAGCCTGAAAGTCTGGAACAAAGTACAATAGCTAGTCATACAACCCTTTTAAAGACAAAATAAGGATCTTGCAATTTCAGTAGAGGATAGCAAGCCATCAAAAGTTGCACAAAGTGGAGTAATGACACAGCAAGTGGTTACTAAGGAGGAAAGCCCGTTAATGATAAAAAAACCAAAAAAAGTTGCTGAGGACAGTACTGAAAAATGTGGAACTAAATTGCACAAGAAATTTTCAACACCCAACCACTCTGTCCCATCATGCAAAAAAAAAAAAAGAAAATAAGAAAATAGTATTATGAAGATCCTGTTTTATGTAGTCTCATTCTGAGCACAAGAGAGGACAGCGAGTGAATACCTCCCCGCCCCAGGATACCTGTAAAAAAAAAAGGAAAAAGTTGTCCAGCCTTAAGTAATAAAACAGGTGCAATTCCACAAGTTTATGCACAGGCAGACTGACACTTACAGACAATTTATTGGGCAAGTCTTGAGGCTTAAGTGCTGGCCTGCTTAAACTCCAAATTACCCCGTCCTTTAGAACTTTTGCTGTGTGGATGCCCAGAATACTAACCTTGAAGCTCAGTGTAGTGTAGTGTTAATGTGTCTGTGAAAAGAGGCCTGAAAGAGTGCAGGATTCAGCTATACTCAGACTACTTTTTAGAGTGAAAATAAATGTGTATACCCCTTACACATGATAAGGTGGCAAGATGAAGAAGAGAACTACAAGAAACCTATTACTGCCTGGATCACTTTAAAGAAAATGTCATTATCTGCCTTTAGTTGTAGTTGCATTCATGTTCATCCACTTTACAGAAGGGCTGCCAGAGCAGAGGTTGTTTTTTCCTAGGGCTAGTACTAAAATCACAATAACTAGGAATATATCTATTTTCTAAACAGCCTGTTTATAGATACAAGTGCTGCGTCTGTGTTTGATACAATCTGCATATGAACGGCAAGAGACAATTGTCTGATAAAACTATGAGAACACAATTTTGAAAACCTTTTAATGAGATCTTCAGTACTCGGTAATATCAATAGCCCTACAAAGTACTTTATGTTTCATTCTTATTAATGTTCTAGTAATACTCGGTAAGATAATTATATAATTCCTAATGTATCTATATCTTAGGTCAGCTCATTACTACACTCTGTTCAATTGAGGATCACCACACAGAAGCTGATGATCTTGTCAGAATCAAGGGGAAGAGACTCTGTGTTGTAGCACACTCACAAGAGTCTGATGCATCAGAACTACAGATAGCAGGTTTTGATTTCTATTGTTAATAACTTGTTCAAAAGCATAGCACACAGTATTTCCAGAAAAAGCAATTCCAGAAGAGAAATATCCATCTGCTTGATAACTTGTATGACAAACTGCTAGATAACAGTTTTTCTGAATTAATGGAAACTGCTTACCTCATCATAATAAGCTCTCAGATCAGCTCTTTTAGATCGTAAGTCCCAGAATACTACGGTCCCATTTTCATAGCCTATCAATAGCTGGAGGAGGGAAACAAACACAATTATACTTTCAGATTAAAATGGTATACACAGATGTTGAAGAATTTCATGGGTTTAAGAGACTTTTAAAAAAATAAGCACTATAAAATGAAATGCCAAGCTGATGTGCAAGATTGTAGTTTGCACTACACATAATACCCAGCTTTCAAATGGTCTTTCAGTATAAATTTCTTCTTACTACTGACAACTTAATTTTTAATATGAAAGAAAAATGTGCTTTATACTCCTTTTTTCTTTCTTTCTTTTTTTTTTTTTTTCTGCAAGACTACATACCTAGACAGTCTTCATAATTGTGTATCTGCTGAGAAAATAAGACCGTAGCATGTTCCTCTCAGCTCTTACCTTCTCTGACCCAGATTGGAGGGAAAACTGTTTGACACATAAGAGATCACTTAAATAACTTCAAAGAGTCACCTGATTAAACTCTTACTCAGCTACATATATTCCTTTAATTTCTGCTTCTTACTGCTTTAAAACATTTTTAACAACTTCCCTTGCAGAGAAGAAATTGCTTGCTTTCCTAGAAATGGAAAATAAATTAACTGGTATGCCAATTTTTACTTCTTCTAGAACTAGTCTGTCATATCATCATGCGCACCTGAGAAATAATTTATAGTTAGTATATTTAAAACCTTAATATGAACAATAACGGATTACTTAAGAATTCTGCTCCTGAAAAATATTCAAACTGTCCTGGAGAAGTTCCAGAATATCTATCATTTTTGCTCTGGAAAGGTCCATATGGGATTCTGTGGCAGAGTAAATGTGAAAAGATATCCTGTTCAGAAAGCATGCAGCTAACTGGATAGAACTTGTGTCAGGATGCCATACGGTATTCTGGGATAATAGATTGCCATTGAGAGAGTGAACAGAGAAGTGTCTTACTGCGACCGTTTTCACTGTTAGTGTAGTTATCCTAAATGGAAGACAATTGTATATCCAGGAGCTAGTGATCCACATAGCAGTTAACCTGAGTAGGTGTAGGCCTGCGCTGGGTGATGTGCGGCACAGAGCACTTGGCTTTCAGGCCTTGTTCTGCTGCACATATTGCTCGGCCACAGGAAAAACTTCACTGTCTAATTGCAAAGAAGCAGCTTGTAGGCAGCTCCCACTTGATAAAGGCAATTAGAGTGCCTTTGTGGCCTTGTCTTTACCTTAATGCAAGGCGGTATGTTCTCATGTGAATAGCCTTGACAGTAGAAATGAATACATTTAAAAAAAAAAAAATCTTTTGAGATCTCTAAAGACCAAAATACTAGCAAACCTCTTCACAGAGTGGATGAGCACGGTGTGCTGTGCCCTTATTGGAGGTCTATCCAAAGCTGTACAACTTGGGGTTCCCACCATCTGAAGGAATGCAAGACTATCTTTTACCTTTTTGTATTAACTCTAATAAATGGTATTTTAATCAATGTGTTATGGAGTCTGAGTGCCTTCCTTACTGTTGCAATAACAAGCACTTGCATCAGTGCACTACAGCTGAGTACCAAACCAGCTGAGTTCACTTTGTATCTACCAGTATTCTTTTCACCTCAGCTTTTGTAAAAATGTATTCAGGAAACTGAAGGAATAGGAAAGCATTTAGTATGTGATCCTGTTTCATAATAAGCCTTTCTCCCTGATGATGCAGGCTTGTCTTTTGATTTTTATCACTCTCGCAAAGATTTCATGCTCCAGGTAATCATTAAATAGTTAAATACCTCATATCAGAGACAGCATTTCAACTGATATATTGCTGAAATGCTTAATGCGCAACAGCATTACAGAACTGCAAGATACAAAGTGCTGTGATTCCAGGGAAGAATTTGAAAGATAAACAGATTTAATGTGTAGCCGGGAATCTCTCTGTCTTTGCTCAGACGGTAGTCATGCTGCTAAACTACTAGTACTGTGGTATGAAACTAAAGTCAGAATTCCAGCTGGGTGAATGTCTCATTGCCAGTATATTTATGATGCTATGACCTCTGATCTGTCTGAACCATAGGAAACTCAAATATTCACACTCCTCTCAACCATGGTAAGCACTTGAGAGATCTATAGGACAAGCTCTATGCCTGTAATGTTCAATGAGGTAAAAAATAAAGCATCCATAAACGCAGTTGAAGGAGAAAACACAGACAAAGAAGAAAAAAGTGTGTAAAAAGAGTCAAGGAAGTAAAAACCCAAAGATTTCTCTTCAACTTGTGTTTCCTGGCACCTCATTTCATTACTCATGCTTAATTAGGCTAAGAATCATGTAGGAGGCTGGACAGAATTTCCAGGAAGAAGGAGTCCTGGCAAGATCTTCCTTGTCTAGTGGAGTTGCTCCACATTTTACAAATCCTTCTTCAGGAAATACTTTTGATGATGCTGTTTTAGTGAGATTAGTCCTTTACAATCAATTAATTGCATCCTAGTACATGCCAGCTATCCCCTTATTTGTCCTGATAGTACAAAACACCTGGGAGATAAAAAAAGTCTGCCAAATGCAAACGCTATTTAGGCGTTATTAGATCGCAGAACACAGACTCAGAGATAGGAAGTTTAGTCCACCAGCTAATAGTTAACAACATTAAACCTTGTCCTATTAAGCTTTCTCCAGTTGCTGGGAAACTGCAGATCATTGCAGTTAATGTCTTCTCCTATGTCAGCAAGAAAAATCATGTTTGCTACAGATCTGCCACTTACAAATGTCTGTGAACTTCAGTCTGTTCCTAATGTACACTTACTCATTGATACTGATTGATACTCAGTTATATTTCATGGACTTAGTCACTAGGTCCCCAAATTGTTCTTAAGTGACACATTAAATGTCCAAATTCTCTTTGTTGTCTATCTTCCAGCCACAGCTTGTTAGACTCATAAAAGAGACTGTCTCCAAAGTCTGCCTTTATAGTTTGCCTGGAGGGCACTCTGGAAAAATTTTGAATGGCAGAAGTCTTCTGGAATTACATTCACTCTTGTGACATGGAAAACTTGTCATCAGTCACTGATACAAACTGGAACTTTTAGGAATTTAAAGAGTTTTTAAAAGATGAATATGCAGTCAGCATACAAATTTCCCTGGCTTTTGAAAAGAGATCTTATGATTGTCTTATATTTGGAAAAGTTTATCTGTGTTTTAGGACTCTCAACCATTCATCCCCCTAGGAGAACGCTGCTTTTTGCTTCAGCGAAACATGCCCAGATCTGCAAACAACTTTCTGATACCCCAGAGAAGGATACATCACTGCACCCTCGTGGAGTACACTTCCGTTGTACTTGCAGAGTACAAGAATATCTATATTTTGAGAAATGATTATGACTGATTTGTACCCACTATTTAATTCCTGAAGCATAGGTAAAGAACACTTTCATCTGCTGCCCCCCATGAAGTAATATGAGGAGTCTGATTTCTTCCACCAACACCTCTTGGTGGTCTTTGGCTAACTTGAAGCTGTGGAGCTAAGCAGGTATGTAGAACTATCTCGAAGCAGCTCTATTACCTAAGAATAACTCTGCTAAATTAAATAAAAAGTCTGCTTATCACAGTATCTTGTACATAAATGGCCAAGAGCAAATACCAAAGAACAATATGTGAGGAGGACAAGTACTTATCATACTCTCATGTATTCTCTGAGCCTAAGTAATTTTCTCATTCAAAGGCAGCCAACTCAACTGGACATGGCTTCATTTATCCTCATCTTTAACAACGTTTCAGGAAAATTCAGCAAACCTCTTCAGTAATCCTCAAATTGATTTCTCTTGTGTAAGTTTTTCTAGTCTCCCTTGTGACCAATATATATTTTCAGCACCCACAGCACCATTTGAAAAGAGTTTTATAGCTTCTACACATTGCACATTTGAAGAACTTAATTAGCTTGTTTGGAATCTGACTTTTGTCAGCTTCATTTGATAACCTTTTAGTTTTCTTATTGAAAGAGACTACGAACTGTTTCTACCCTCTTCATAACAATTATGATTTCCAAACTCAGAATCACGATCAGCTCTTTTCCTCAATGAATTGTCCTGTCTCAGTTGCATCTCATATAAAAATCTTACCCCTTCTCTGAATTTCTTCTAGCACAATTATGTTCTTTTTGAGATAGGACAAATACACTCAGTATTCAGGAGGCAAGTCAACCATGCATTTATGCAAGCCCTGTTTTGTTCCCTACTCTTCTCCAGATAATGCCTAATTTTGATTTTCTTTATTGGTCACTACTGAGCATTGATCTGACATTTTCGTTGAATCATCACTTGAAGCTTGTGATACCAAACAGTAATGATCAGCTCAGACCTATTGTTTCATAAGTAAAGTCAGAAATATTTTCCCACACACATATCACTTCCCATCAATTACACTGAATACTTAGAAAAGACAGTATTTAACCTGCCATTTTACTGCCGAGTTTCTCAGACTCCTAAAGTCCAGCAAACCTGATCACATCACTGCTTACCCTCTTTTCCAGGTTGTTTATGACTATGCTGAAGAGCAGAAGTCCCAGAAGTTGTGTTTTTTTTATTTTTTAATTTTTTCCCCATTCGGAAGAAAGATTGCTTTATCCTTCATTCTTTCAACCAAAGTTTAATGAGACTTGGTTGAAAAATTTAGTTTATTTTTTTTCTCTACTGTTGGATTTTTTTGATCCAGAGCTATGTCTTTTGATTTAGTACTTGGATCTTCTCTTAGATTTGTGCATACCTTTTACCATTATCTTCCTGTAAACATCAAACACTATCAATTCCACATTCCTCAAATCTGCAAGTATTTTGTTAGCACAAATTTGTTCTTTACACCACTCTCAATCTATCAATGATATAAACAGCTGCACTGGGATAGTTTCGGTATGGCTTACATTTTCTATTCTTTCGCCCCATAAATTTCCAACTTTTTTTTTTCACAGAGATTCATCTGATTTTGCTGTTGCTGTTGTTAGTACACTAGTACTTCATCAGTGCCTAGATGCTTCCAATGTGCCCTCTGAGCAAGTTGTATTTCCAAACAAGTCCTTCTCTAACTTCCTTTCCTGGGACCTTTTCATCTCTCTTTCTGCTGAAGTCAAAGTATTTTAGGTTTCTGTTTGGACACAGTGCATGGCATTCC